TTGTCTACATTCCTTTCCCTATATTAAAAAATCAAAATTAAAAACAAAACTTTAATAGATGACCTCACTACCACTCTTCACAAATCAAACTTGTCTCTAAACACCACTTTTATTAGATCCCAGGTTCCATATTCTAAGTCATGTACCAACCTCACATGCTGTTTTCCACGTAACTGCTGGCAGGAAATCTGAATTACAAGAATGAAATAGGCAATGGCTAGAAATCGTGATTACATTTATTGGAAATATGGACTAAATAAGGCACTTTAATTAGTATCAGACAGAAGAATGAATTGATCTCCAACAAAGCACAAAGTGTTGAAGCAATAAGATTTAGAAAACGTGTCCAAGGCATAATTCACTATGATGATGGAGGAGACGAATCTCTTTCCTGTTGTGCAAGATGAGTTCAAGATAAAAGCAACCCCACTGCTGAAAAGCTGCAGTTGGTCAGCATTCAGGAGATACATTTTTAAGGAAATCTGCCCCTGGGATGCAATGAAAAACAAAAATCTTTTAATTCTTTTTAAAAGTTAACTCAGTCTGCCTGAAGAAACAGGTAAGATATTTTAGCCAAATTTCCTTGTGAAAAGAGTAATCAAAAGCATATTGGAGGCTTAACTGTAATATTTTCTCTCTAACTCACAAGTGTTTTAATTCATTTAAATTATGCATGTATATGTTCCCTATTGTAGCATCTCTTTATGAATACATTGAGTTTATCAGAAATAAAATGAGACGTATTCTGTGAAAACTTTTACTATTTGTGGAAAAAATTATTGTTAAAATAACTACTTATGTAAAAATTAACTCATTTGATTGACCAAATATTTAAGTATCAATTAAATAAAAGACTTTGTAGAGATTATGCTAAGTGAAAAGAAGCCAGATACAAAAGACTACATTTTGCATATCATTTACATGAAGTGTTCAGAAAAAAAATGACAGAGCTAGAAGGCATACGAGTGTTTTCTCGGAAGTGAGTAAGATTGCAAACGGGAATGAGGCAACTTTGTGAAATAATGTGTTTTGAAACTGAATTGTGATGATAGTGGCACAAGTGTATAAATTCACTAAAAATCATCTAAATTTCAGTAAAAGAATTTTATGCTATATAAACTATACCTCAGTAAAACTTTAAGAAAAGATTCTGTAAAAACATCACGACATTGAGATTCTAAGGGCATTTGCACTCCCTTGAGAAACTGATAAAGGGGCATCTATGTAAAAGGCACAGGTAACATCACGTTTAATGATGAAAGACTATGCTTTTCCTCTAAAATCAGGAATACAAGGATGTCTTTTCTTGCCACTTCTATTTCACATTGTACTGGAGGTGCTAGTCAGGGCAATTAGGCAAAAAATGAAATAAAAAGCATTCAGATTGGACAGTAAGAAATAAAACAATCACTATTTGCAAATGACATATAGTAAGAAGTCTAAGAAATCCAGTAAAAAAGTACTATTAGAATAAACAAGTTCAGCAAGGGTATGGAATTAATATACAAAAAATCAACTGTATTTCTATACATTGGCAATGAACAATCCAAAAGTGAATTTAAAAGAACAATTCCATTAATAATAGCATCAAAAAGAATAAAAATACTAGAAATAAACTTAACCAAAGAAGTAAAAAACATACTTTGAAAACTACAAAACATTGTTGAAAGAAATTAAAGATTTAGATACACGGAAAGATATCCCACATTCCTGGGTAGGAAGACTTAATATTGTTAAGTTGGCAACACTCTCCAAACTGACCCCAGATTCAATACAATTCCTATCAGAATCCAAGCTGGTGATATTTACAAAATTTTTGCAGAAATTGACAAAGTGAACCTAAAATTCATATGGAAAACCAGAATAGCCAAAATAATCTTGAAAAAGAACATATTTGGAAGACTCACACACCTGATCTTAAAACTCAATACAAAGCAATGGTAATCAAGATAATGTGGTACTAGCATAAGGATAGACATATAGATATATCAATGAAATGAAACTGACAGTCCATAAATAAACCCACGTATCTATCGTCAAATGAGTTTCCAAAGAGTACCAGGAACATTTAATGGACAAGGAGTAGTTTCTTCAATAAATGGTGTTGGGACAACTGGACTGTCATACACAAAAGAAGGAAGTTTCACCCTACATCATACCATGTACAAAAATTAAAATGGGTCAATCACCCAAAAGTAAGGGCTGAAATTATGACAGTGTTAGGAGAAAACACAGGGGTAAATCTTTGTGACCTTGGATTTGGCCCTGGATTCTTAGACATGACACCAAAAGCACAGCAACAAACAAAAACTAGGTAAACTGGACTTAAAAGTTGTAAAACTTCGTGCTTCAAAAGACAGTACCAATAAAGTGAAAAGATAATATACAGAATGGAAGAAAACATGTGCAAATCATATATATGATAAGGGTCTAGTATCCAGAATATATAAATAGTTCTTTCAACTTAACAACCAAAAGGCAAACAACTCAAAAAATAGGCAAAAAACTTGAATAGACATTTCTTTCTCTAAAGAAGCTATATGAATGGCTACTACAGCATATGAAAAGATGATCAACGTCATTAGGCATTAGAGGAGAGCAAATCAAAACCACAAGATACCACTTTACTCTTACTAGGATGGCTACATAGGTTTAAAAGTCAAACGACAAGCACTGATGAGAATATGAAGAAATTTAACTCTTATACATTGCTGGTGGGAAGATAAAATGGTGCATTGTGAAAAAGCATTTTGATAGATTATCAAAAAGCTGAACATAGAATGACCATATCATTCAGCAATTTCACTCCTAGCTGTATACCCAAAACAACTGAAAACAGGTACTCAGATGGGTATTTGTATACCAGCCCTAACTGCAGCATCATTCACAGTAGCCAAAAGGTAGAAACCACCCAAGTCTCATTAGCCTAGATGAATAAACAAAACTTGGTACATACATACAATGGAATATCATTCAGCCACAAAAAGGCATGAAGTCCTGACACATGCCACAAGATGGACAAACCTTGAAAATATGCTAAGTGAAAGAAGCCAGTCACAAAAGAGCACATATTATTGTTATATATGATTCCTTTTAGATGAAATGTCCCAAAAAGGCAAATCCACAGACACAGAAAGTCAATTAGTAGTTGCTTAAGGCTGAGGTGATTTGAGGCTGATACTTAAAAGGTAAGGAGTTTCTCTCTGAGGTGATGACTATGTTCTAAAATTGACGATGGTTGCATAACACTGTGAATATACTAAACCAGCTAATTTTTAAAACAGACACCAAACCCCTCCCTTGACTCCATATGCCTTGCTAGAAATGGTCCCAGTTTCTCTGTCTCACACAGCCTCCTCTTGAGAGGTTTTAACTTCTTAAAGAGCTGTTTATCCTCATTATTTTCATTTCACCGTGAATTAGTAAATTCTGACTGAGTACCTACGAGGTGCTAAGACATAAGACCAATAGGACAAAAGCTCTGTCCAAAAGGACAGAGGAAGGGAAACAGTACAAGATACACAGATGAAGAACCGATTAATCTAAAAATTATCAAGTGATGAGCCAGAAAATATCCCCTTAGCATTGCGTTGTCTAAAGGAAGGGGCTGTTCTCAGCAAGTGATGTTTAAGTTTCTCAGTACTAAGGATCCAGCTATAAAAAAGGTAAGAGGCAGAGCAACTGCAGGCAGAGGGAAAAGCAAGTGCAATGATGAGAGAAGGCTGAGAGGAACTTCAAGAGGTCCAGGGAGGCGGAATAGTAACTGACCGGGGGAACAGAGAGACAAGGTGAGGTCCCAGAGGTAATGAGAGGCTGGTCAGGGGAGACCTGTAGGGCTTTGGAAGGCAGGGTGAGAAGTTTCAGTTTGTTTCTTCTCAATCCCATAATACTCTGTGCACATCTGTCCTGTTACACTTAATTCTCTGTATACCTCCTTAGACTTTGCCCCAAAGAAAATCAAAGTTTCTCGTTCATCTCCATCGAGCCAGTGCTCAGCCAGAACCTCAGAGGTTGAGGTTTCCTGAATGAAGAATCCACATATTGACACCGTTATAAGGCAAAAATCCTAAGGCCTGTACGAAATTCTAAATAAAGTTTAAATGGAAGAAAAAGTGTTATCGAAAGGCAGTGTGCAAATGAAGGCCAGGCAATTTTCCTTTAAATTCCCCTGGCCCACGTGGTTATTTCTACCAGAGACTGTGATGTTTCCCACGTTTGAATCAGTTAAAAAGAACATCTTCCAAACTTAAACTCACTCCCAGAATCTGAAACATAAAACTGCCAGCAAAGAACAGCTTTAGCATCTCCAGTTACTGCACGGTAGTCATTAACCGGTTCTCTAACTCAAGCCTACTCGCTAAAGTATCCCAAGACGTTGTCTGATATCTACCTCAGCACCACCACAGAGCTATAATACACAGAAATGGAAAAGCTATAGATTACATTTCTAGTAACTGAAATAGGATCAAGCACTGCCTTTTAAATAACACATGATAACAACACATGCATTCCTTACAAGTGACTTACAAACATTTAATTACCTAATAATTAGCTTCACATTTGCATGTTGGATTTTCTGTTTGTGCTACACAGGGATTCTGCATAGCTCTAATTATAGCCTCATTATCCAGAAAGGCACACACTGATTCTAACACAGTTGAGACAAAGCTAGCCAAATAACAGCTTCAGAGTGTAAAACCATACGATTCTTCAAAGAGATAAAGCACATTTCTTCAAGAGGGAAGAAAGGCTTCCCTGGTGGCGCAGTGGTTGAGAGTCTGCCTGCCGATGCAGGGGACACGGGTTCGTGCCCCGGTCCAGGAAGATCCCACATGCCGCGGAGCGGCTGGGCTCGTGAGCCATGGCCGCTGAGCCTGCGCATCCGGAGCCTGTGCTCCGCAACAGGAGAGGTCACAACAGTGAGAGGCCCGCGTACCGCAAAAAAAAAAAAAAAAAAAAAAAAAGAGGGAAGAAAACCACATTTTTTTCAGCTGGCTTACTGTGGCCTTGAGGCTTCGGCCTGGTCTGTCTGCAGTTTTTCTCCTCCTTCCACTTCCATTGTACAGTAAACAATTCGATTGGGAGCGACTGACTTCAAACCTTCCACTTCCATTATGACAATCTAAGGATAAGAAAAACGGTTCACTGATTCGTCAAGCTGACAACACTTAGCAATAGAGACGGCAGTATGAACTACATACGATTAGGAAGACCAACTGATAACATTATCTGGCAATATCATGGTATTTTATCTTCTTTAAAATCTACCTCTATTCATGGAAGGCAAGTAACATTTTGAGAAAGTCTGGTATCTGAAGACGCATCTCCTGCCACTTATGAGAGATTCAAGTCTCTAAATATGAGCCACAATGAAGTAAGTGAGATATAAACTCAGAGCCTGAAAAGAAATTATGGCAGGTCTGCATGAGGCAAAGCAGAATTATTAATGAAAATTCAGTGCATGTGTTAAAAGGATTCAGGTTGAATTCCACATAAGGCGACTGGCAGACACTGTCACCATCTCACCAATTCATTGATATCAATACATGACGTCAGAAAATTTCTATGTTCACTTATTTTATATGACTACTAGCATTTATAAAAGAATTTTCTTCATAGCCACTGTTTACCTTATGAAAATATGGAAAATATAACTTGGCAATGAATATCTTACTATTAACTTGACAAGGAAAACAATTTTCCCCATCCATTAAAGGTATATACCAATTTGATGTAGTCTACTGGAAAAGGGTGGAAAGACTGATATTACCTTATATATTTGTAACTCCTGGGGGAAACGGAAACATAGTTTTCAAGTGTGCTTTTTATGTCTGTATAAAAGACTGCCGATCTTAAAATACTGTAACCTAACATTCTTACTGGATGTACACATAAAATATAACTATTACTAAATATCATTTATAATAGTTTTTTAAAATCAAAACTTGCATCATGAAGTTTCCTAAATTCTCAAAATTAATAAAATATATTCAATGACCTTTTTATACATGCACATGTATTGATCTCCTATTGTATATGTATAAACAAGATTAATAGCATCATTCATGCCATGTAGCTACCAAAAAGCCACTAAAAAGATGTGTGTCAGGGCTTCCCTGGTGGCGCAGTGGTTGAGAGTCTGCCTGCCGATGCAGGGGACGTGGGTTCATGCCCCGGTCTGGGAAGATCCCACATGCTGCGGAGCGGCTGGGCCCATGAGCCATGGCCGCTGAGCCTGTACGTCCGGGGCTTGTGCTCCGCAACGGGAGAGGCCACAACAGTGAGAGGCCCGCATACCGCAAAAACAAAACAAAACAAAACAAAAAAAAGATGTGTGTCATTTATTGATCTTTTAATACATTATGAAAATCATTACACTCTTCATAGAGTTCTGATATGAAAGTTCAGGCAAAAAGCCTCAAAGGAACAAACCGTCTTAAAAGAAGTTTTCTTCCTTTCAGTTCTGGTACAATAGCTTTTTTTTGTAAATACAAATGTCTATTATTTTTGTTGCATTTTTTCATAAAAACATATGGGAAACTGATCACCAAAAAAATGCGGGTCAAATTCAGAACCATTTGCCTCCCCCAATCAAGGCTTTTGTCATTTTGTCACACTGAAACGCATACCAACATATGAATTAAAATGAAGACAACTGAAAACAGACTATGAGAATTAATAGATAATACTAACAGTTTTCACAGTCGCTCTAGTACTCAAGGAAGTTTAGATGAAGTACTAAACATGAAGCAGAATTGAGTACACAAGATAAATCTAGAAATCCTGATGGCACTGGTTCCTGTATGGGAATATGACTGTTTGTCCTGCATCTCTTTCTGTAGCATGTTTAATAGCCAAAGTGCAAGAGAGGAGAAAGGAAGCATCTGCTTAACACTATTTCTGTCACCTCTACTACAAAGCTACTATAAACAGGACCTCCTAAAACATACGAGTTGTGAAACAGTTTTCTGTCCCTCAAAACAATGCTCCCGTCTGTTCCGGGAATGTTCTATCCTGCAGAATTGCCACTTTCAAAAGACGTAACTTCTGTTATGAATCCACACATATAAGTAAATAAAACACAGTTCTACAGATCTGACTTCCAAAAGGAATTTGAAACGTGCAGCTAGTCTCAATCATTAATGATAAACGCAGCTAAGAATTCCATGGACCATCAACTAACCTAAGTTATCTTAGGCAACTGTTTCAACCAATTGCCAGTAAAACCTGATAATGAAACTACAGAAAATAAAGCTGATCTGTGTTCTGCCTTTTCTTCCCAGATCTCTGGATAACTGACGTGATCAGGATAAAACAAAGTTATCCTAGAAGCATAAAGAAGGGAGGCATGTACAAAATATGAAACCAGATAACACGCTTCTGAATAATGCACTGTCCGCCCACAGAGTTACATGGCACTCAGGCATGTGCGGGTTGTGGGTAAAGGCAGCTGAGCAGTATGGTGAATAGGGGGACCACACACGTACCTCCAAACACAGAGGAGGTCACAGGGTCTGCCGGCCCTAAAACACTCAGTGTGAACATCAACTATATTCATGCCACTGACACCATTCCCCTTACAACAGACTCATAACTTCATGGATGACCGTTTTCCTAACCTTACTTGAATATTAAATTGTAACAGACCGTTGTTTGGCTTAGTGTTTTGTGAGTTAGCTTGTCTCTTGCTTAATAAGTCTCTCTGAAGGCTTCATAAATGAAGAGACATAAGAGTAATCTTGTGAGGCTAACTGCTGTGTTTTGATACCATCAAAGTTCCCAATTCAATAAACAATTATTGAGTCAACTGTTTTAGGCTGTTGGCACTGTTTTAGGCTCCTGGGATACCTCAGTAAACAAAAAAGAAAAAAAAAAGACTTTAACTTCCTAAAGCTTACATTCTAGTAAAGAAAGCCAGATAATGAATAATAAATATAATAAATAACTGATTTATATGTTAGGTGGTGTGGTGCAAGAAGGGAGGAGTGGGTAGAAATTTTAAAGAAATGATAAAATTTTTAGCAGTGTTTCAAATCTGCACTTATTCATTTGACTCAGACTTCAGTTCCTAGAAAAACTCCTTCTCCACTGGGCCAGCTCTAAGCCTGACGGATGAAATGTGAAACTCTTAAAATGGATTAACTGCTTGCCCTTCAGAGTTTTCTTAGGCTGAAATCTGGTGTCTGATGAGCAAGGCCTGGATAATGGGCGAGAGATAATTATTCAATTTAGCTAGGCTGAGGTCAGAGGCCTTGGGGCTGGAGGAGGTACCTGGTCCATTCCCTCAGGTGTCCCATAGACAAGCACTGTGTAGTCTGCCCTGAAAGAGACTTTGTTTTGTTGTGAGACACAACTCCTCTGTAAAATACTGTAGGCAACATGGAACAGATCTGTACTATGCCATGATAGGAAAATATCTGCCTCATATAGACCTAGTAACAGAGGATGTCAAAACGATTGTAAAAATATGGAAGCTTCTCAGACCATGGCAAAATGAAGTTTTAACTCATTTCATCCTCCTAACACCCTTTTATTGCTAACTGAACAACCCTGTTTAACATACTGGCAATGAAGCACAGAATAACAATTCATAGTTTCACAAAAAAACTAACTCATGAGCATAATTTTGTTTTCAAACGGGAAAGACAATTCATAAAAGCTAATTACTTAAGAATGGTGTAAGATTTTTAAACAATAGAGAAAAGAGAAAGTGTTTTGAACTGTTTTCAGTTCTGCATGCTTATAGAGATAATAATGGTAGGTTTAAACATTACACAAATCATTTGCTTTCCAAATTATTTTTTATTATTAATGAATTTAAATGCCAAACTCTTGTTAGAAAAAGTTAGACTGTAATTAAAGAATTGACTTTGTTTTGTACAAAACCTTAAGAAAAAAAGAGTCGGCAGTTTTCATTTTAGTTGGCAGGAAACCTGACGCAGGAATGATTGGGAAATTCTACACCTGAGATACTATGTAGTTTCAAATTAAACATCCTGAGGTTATGAGGTTAAAGAGATTGAGAAGAAACCCAGGAACAAAGCCACTTGGCAAAGTTATTAGCTAATCCCTGAACTGGGTATGGAGTCAGAAGAAAATCTCCTATTTCTACCCTGACACTGAATTGAATCTATTAGCCTACAAAGAAAATGTTAGGCTGGAAGGGAAGAAAGACAGGCAGTTGTCTTATCCTCAAGCTTGAATTTCTCTTAGAGTTGAATTAAGTGGAGGAAAGAACAGAAGCAGACATTTGCTTTTTCTGCCATAAACGAAGCAAGTCAAGTGTAAGAGGCATCAACAAAAAAATCTAAAGCTGTACCTCCTAAGACTCCACATGTTTTGCTTTGTCAACGAGCAAACTCAAACAGCAGTACTGGGACCTAGCAGAGAGAGTACATAACAATGCAAGAAAGGAGTTACAAGCTTGAATTTTTGAGAGGCTAAGAATTTAAGCTGGATATTGCAAGTGTATGTGCGGGTGTTGGGTATAAACCCATATACATGTACATGGATCAGCCCCTATACAGAGTTTAGCAGTGAGGAAATGCCATCATGAAAAATATCCACAGGGAGCAGTAGGGGTCAGTGATCAATGTCTGTGGTTTCCAGTGATCTGTATAAAAGGGATGAAACTCTGAAGTCTTGGAGAACACAATTTTAAATGCACAACATTTATTCTCGTTTCTTTTTCTTTTTTTTTTTTTTTGCGGTATGCGGGCCTCTCACTGTTGTGGCCTCTCCCGTTGCGGAGCACAGGCTCCAGACGTGCAGGCTCAGCGGCCATGGCTCAGGAGCCCAGCCGCTCCGCGGCATGTGGGATCTTCCCGGACAAGGGCACGAACCCGCGTCCCCTGCATCGGCAGGCGGACTCTCAACCACTGCGCCACCAGGGAAGCCCTATTCTCATTTCTTTTTAATGATATTTACTGTACCTGTAATGAAACGGCAAACCCTAGAAAGGAAGAAGTCTTTACTTCTCATCATCTATAGTACCCAATACTGTACATTACAGCTGGTTTATGCGATTTGATTCTAGAAAGATGATCTCGTAGTTAAAGCAGACTAAAAACAAGAATAACCAAAAGCTTGAAAGGAGTTTCCAAATTACAGAGAATTCAATTATGCGTTTAAATCCTATTTCCACTCAAGCGTGTTTCAGTGCTTACTCTACCAATAAATTTCCACCAGCCTAGGTGGCGCCAAGAACACTTGCCTCAAAACTTGTATTACTTTATTATTTAACCCTAACACCACTGTTACGTTTAAAGGATAATTTGCGTTAATTTGCATTCACACTCTGATTGTCTAGCAAATGAAGAATAATTTAACTTCTTCAAAATATATTACATTGCTTTAAATTTGAAACGTTACCACCAAGGTCAGCAGAAATGACCCTGTAGCCTCATTTACACTGCCGGAAGCAAATGTGGGATAAAGCCACTTACCTCTAAGGTGAATGACAGCACCACGTCGGACTTTGACAGCTGAATCTCATTCTCATCTCCTATGTCCAAAAAGGCAGAATTCTGCGAACGTTTTAATTTTTGTAATTTAAATTCTGGACCACCTTTCGAAACTGGAAGACTCTCCAAATTGGCCATTAGCAAATTCACTGAAGACCGCAACTCTTCTATATACATATTCTCCATCTCTTTTGCTATAAATCTGGGGAATTTTCTTTCCTTGAAAATAATTTTTAAAATAATAATGTTACACAAGTCATATTTCAATTTTATCGTAAAAGATTATATGGTGGATATATACTCGACTGTCTTAGAAATTGTGATGCTCAATGATACTTTAGTCTCTAGGCTTTAAAGCCTCAGGCTTTGGCAATTTTGATTATATTTAACTGTACCTTATCTACCTTATGGAGGATCATTATCATAAAAAATGGATCACATGATATACATTTTCAGCTTAACTTTATTTTTGATATGGTATTTATTTAAGGGAAAAACCAACTCTAAAAAACATACATGTAAAAAGTTTTAGTGTATAGATGAATCTTAATTAGCCACTGATATCTTTGAAATACTTGGAACAACTGGTCTATAAGAAGAACGTTCAGTATATACTGCTCTGACTGTTAAGAAACAAACATTTTAACAGTATCTCTCTTTCATACCACTGATGTGTTAGGCATTCAAATTGAAAAACCTTTACTATGAAATACAAATATGGCCATACTTCTAAAATTAGTTAACTTTCATGTCATACAAATGTATCAAGATCCCTTATTGCCATAAATTCAGTTTTTTAGTAAAGGTTTAGAAAAAATTAAGTTTAAAGCCTAATGTAAATTTATGATAAAAGCTGTACATGAAAAAGTAGTAACATCAAATTAGGAGATTCAATTTTCTTCCCAAATTACATGAGTGTTGCCATTCAGTCCTCAGACCTCTGCAATCAGACTTCTGTTTCTTTCACTCAGTTAAAAGGACATTCCAAGTATTGATACTTAGATAGATATTAACAGCTATTGCCAAATTGCCCTTGGAGAAGGTTATACCCATTTACATTCCCACAAATAGCAAGTGAGGTTTCCTCATACTCTTGGCTCTTTCTTTAACCTCTGACAGCCTGGCACTTAGGTCTTCTCTCTGAAAGGTAGAGGGTATACAGCTTTATGATGGGAAACGCGATGTCATGGAATGACAGCGGTATAAAACTGGCTGGGGGATGACAGCCTCAAGCTGCCATCATTCAAATGAATGACTGCCTAATGTTCCAGAAAAATCAATGCCTTTACTACTGTCTCCTTTGGCATCATTCAAACTGTTACCTAAGAAATCCCCATCTCCAGGGTGAATGGAATACATCCACAATGCATTCATCAACCTGCCCCTGGTCTGACTCACTTGCACCAGTTTGTTCATGGGCTGGAAAGGAGCATCTGGCACCACCTCATGAATCAGTCCCAGAGTCCTGGACCACCTGTTTTCCTTTTCCCCCAATATAATCTTGACATATTTCTTTTAAAATAATTTACATATAATCAATGTTAAAATTGCGTATTTATATCACAGAGAGATTAAATATCTACATCCATAATTAACTTTCCCAAGGAAGATTCTTAAGTATCCTTTTAATATTCCTCTATAGCTTGAAGCAACATTCCCACACAGTAAGTTTGCATCCTCAGGAAAAACACATAACTACTCAGTTATATAATAACTTGGATTCCTTTGGGGATGCAGGGAATAATGTTTTGGATAGTTTTTCAATACATGCAAAAGAGGAAAAAGATAAAATAAAGCATAAAAACATTTTTACATTTGTGGACTAATTTTAAAAGCTGTCATAAAAAGCATCCAAAACTCAGATATAAGGCAAAAAGGTGAGGGAACAGGTCCTTCCAATGTCATATGTGAGCAAAGGCCATCCAAGGACCGACCATGTGGGGGAAATGTACCTAGTTCAATTTACTGTTTACATTGATTAAAGATCCTGTTTACAAGTGAAGTCACACGTTACTTTGTAGAATTTTGTGTGGTAAAGATATAAATAATGTGTGTCTGGTGACTAAGATAATCCAATGGTTATAGTTTAAATCCCTGTTGGAAATTAACCACTGGTTTTTTTTAACCACTTTTATATCTAATACTTGAATCTTATTTTAACTTTGCCTAAAAACACCTACTTTTCAAATGCCCTTCAGACTAGTTTTGACATCTAACTAGTGTGCTCATTAATTATACACTGAGTACAATCATTATTGTTTGTTCATTTTATATTCATGTAACAGTCACACTTTTGCCTTTTAGAAACATTTTAGCAAAGCAAAAGGCAAACATATCACATGTTTGAAAGTTTGGATGTACCAGTTATTTTCTCCAAATTTTTAAGGTGTTTTTTAATGGAAAACTTAGCATTAGCACATGAAAAAAAATCTATTCTTACTTAGCTTTCATTAAAAACACTTCAGTCATTATCATTTTTCAAGGAGGAGACTGGCAGGAATCACCCAAATTGACTGTTTCATCAGCATTTTCAAATTTTTCAGGAAATAGACTATACTAGATTTTCTTTTTCTCTCTGGGGAAAAAACCCCAACAACTCTCTTTTAAAGCTTTGAGGTTTGTCGATAATATTTCATAAATTTTATTTAGCCTGCTTATGTTGCCTCTTTCTTGGAAACAAAACCAACTGTACAATTAATGTACATATTAAATTTGATCTTTTAAATTAGAACAGCATCAGAAATAGGGTTATTCTGTAGTTTACCTGTGAGTTGTTCCTATAAACCACAGTTTCAACGTTCTAATTTAGTCCTCTGTACAGCTTAGCCCATTAGCAGCCCTAATGCACTATATACATTAAAAAAAATTTGCTCCATAAAATTTCCATTATTCAACTTTAGTCACTGTAAGAGTTCTTAACTTTCCAGTAGATGAAGCATGGACCAGAGTGGTAGGATGAACGCGGTGACAACTGTCAGATCGTGGAAATACTTTGAAGATAGAAATGGATTTCCTGATAAATTTGGCATGAGGAAAAAAGGAGTCAAAGATGATTCCAAGTTTCTGACCCTGAGGTACTAGAAAGACAGTACTGCCAAGAACTGGCCTACCCTGACCACTTGACTGGAAATTTTCAACACTCTCCTTCCCTCCCACATTCCCGATTCCACCTTCTCTGCTTTATTTTCTAAGTAGCAAATGTTCACCTTCCATAATTCAGTTACAGTAATTACTGTAAGTCTCTCCCAAATAAAATGTAAGCTCTCTGAGGGCATGGCAGGAATATTTTTGTCTGGTTTTATCCTAAGAGAACTACATTTGTCTGGATATATCTCAAGTGCCTAAAATAGTGCCTGGTTATCTTAACAGGTGTTCAAGAAATATTTATTCATTGAATTTATGAATAGCAAAATTCAGGCTCCAAAAGGTTAAGTAAGTTGCCTATATCGAGGAAACAGCAATCATGGATCTGGCCCACAGGTCTTTCTGGCCCAGTCCAGCCATATTTTTTTCTCCTACTACTTCCTAATTATGCCTTGGCTAAAATATTAAAGTCAATATTTACATCCCTTGAAACAGACTTCTGCCCTGTGGCTTCAGTGTTATTATACTGTGTTGTAAAGCATGACAGGTGCTACTAATAGTTGACTGCAAACTATAAACTATGAATAAACCACACTTCTGGATTTATGAGACTGAAGAGGTATCAGGGCCTAAGAGAGCAAACCTAAGCTCTGGAGTCCAAAGACCAGCGTTTGAGGTCTTTTGATTTGTTAAGTAATCTTCCCTAAACCTCAGTCTCCTTGTCTATAAAATAAATTCATTATATCGTCTGCCCTTGTGGATTCACAGGATTATTGTAGAGATCTAAGACAACAAGGTCAGTAAGTTATAATTAGCCTTATATTTTATGAAGGTGGCTTAAATTTGGTGAAACTGAAGTAGAAGGCAATTAAACATGCTCCATCTTCTATGTCAATATATTTACCGAAAGGCATTATATTTTGGGGTGTTGTTTTTGCTGTTGTTGTTGTTCCAATCCCATCAGCTTCAATTCCTTCCTTCTCCACGCTTTTTCTTTTTTTTTTTCACACACACACACACACACACACACACACACACACACACACTGTATTTTATTTTTACTGACACCAAGCATTGTAAATGGATGACCACAACAAAAGCAACAATGATTGTAATTATCAAGCATGAAACACACTCATACTATGTCATAATATTGACATTCAGTCCAGGAATCCTCCACTGTAACAGCTCCTTTACTTTAAGTGAAAATTGATTTGTATATTTTTTGCCTCTGAGTCCTTGTGGGATTTTTTTTTTTTTAATTCGAACAGAAAGTCACAAAAATTATAATCATCCTCATCAGTTCACTCAGTCGCATGTAATTTTTTTTATCTTGATCTTTTGTTAGCACTTTTATGAATTCATCAGTTTTCCATTAGAGTTCTGAAAATGCTTATTCATTCAGTTCAGCAGTATAGTCAGTTCCCAGACACCTGTCTCCACGCTTTTTCTACTTTATCAGCACTTCTGATGAAATCATCAAGGTCCCCGCAAAGAGAAGCTGCTGTATGTGCATCACTGACCCTGCTCCTCTCACTCAGTCCAGAGGTTACACACACACCACACATCCTCTTCCACAGACATGAGCTCGGGGACACACCCAAGGCTTTCCATCCTGTTCTGTAACCCTCTAGAAATTCATCTAAACTATCACATATTCAGCCAGACCCTTGAAGAAGTTCAACTTATGACAGTGTGTTCAGCTCAGGTACAATCTAAATACAAGTAGGCAACTGAAAAATGCTGATCACAGGTCCAGAGTCCTGCCCACACTGTCGGGCACATCTCTCTGGATTCTCTCTTAGCCTCAGGGCTTCAAGAAGAGCAGTGCCCTTCCAGACACAGACAGCTTCCAACTCAGGTTAGGATTCTGGGGAATGCATTTCTCTCCCTAAAGCTTCCAAAAGCCTCAAGCTAATACTTGATTCCTAGCCTATGAATTCCACATCTGAATCTCTAGAATGATGTAGTACCTCTCCAGAGGGCGGTAACAAGGTGTGTTGTCTTTTCACTCTCTGCCCTTGGCTTGGTTCTCACAACTTACGGTCATCTCTGTTACCCAATTTCTCTCAATTTTCTATGTATTTCTATTTATATCTATTTCTCAACAACTTGGCTACTTTTAAATTTCATACACATTTAGATAAACACAGTACTAGTCTTAAAACTTACATATTCATAAATACATTTTTCTTTGAAAAACACAAAACTTCAATAGTCACATGCAGTATGGGATATATCTCCTTAAAGTGCTGGAAAAGTTCACTATCTTGATCTGGGAGGTAGTTAATACAGGGCATATACACATTCATCAAGCTGTAAACTTAAAATCTGTGCACTTTGCTATATACATGTTATGCCTAAAGTTTTTAAAAAGAAGAAAAATCCCCAACAGAGAGGATTCTTCAGAGAGACAGGACAGAGACAGACACAGAGGGAGGGAGGGAGAGTCTATCAAATACTCACATTTTTCATTTAGCAAAAGGAAAAAAATCTTATTCTCAGATCAACAGCATTATAACCTCAAGTCTATTTTAAGAGACTAAAATTTTATTTTTACCACTGAAGTAAATTAATGCATCAATTTACTAGAGAATGATTTAGACAAAGAGTTCTCAGAATTAAAAAGAAACTCATGGCTTTTGTTTGAAATCTATTTCTGTTCATACGATTGTATAAATAAAAGTAAACAAAATATGGTATTCAATATGCCCTATGAGACTCTGTACTAGAAACTTCAAATTATATTTTTCATCCATTCAAATATTAGTTGACACCACCGTGTGCCAAGCACTGTGCTAGATACTTTGGAATATATTGTATGATTCTGCAGGCAGGATGGTTTTCTCTCATGCACTAAGCATGATTATATTATGCTTAGTGCAGTATTAAAATTCTTCTAAGTCTGGCAGTTTGAGAAATTCAGGCACTGCTTTAAGAATAATCTATAAAAGTTACCACTGAATTTAAACATCTTATATAAGGATGGATATGTAAAATACATAATGTGCTCCATTTTAGATAATATACATTCAGGTACCTGGGTTTAAGAGGTATGCATGGAGATGAGAAAATAAAATTATGCTGGCTTTATCTATACAAAACTCTTTCAGCTCACAGAAATCTAAGTACAGAAAGAAATGTGGTACAGTATATCAAAGTTAACAATTTACCTTTGCCATTTTCTCTGCCAATTGCAAACGACCATCAAGTTCTCTTCTGATCTGGGCTGCTTGTTCATCTGCATTATCCAACTTAAAAATAAAACAGAAATCACACATACATGATTACTTAATGGCAGTGACCTACAGATTAAAGCAAAGACAAAATGACTCTGAAAAAACTTTATAAATTCTCTCAGCTACCTACTGAGAACACAGAAAGTTGTTTAATTAGATTGACACTCTAATTAAATTTCTTGGGCACTTTTCATTGTGGTTTGCTCACAAAAAAGGTAATAAATCTCTAAGGTTAATAGCTCAGCTTACCAAAAAATCTAATTATAATAATTCTTTGCCCAACCTGTCCACAACAGAGCTAAACCAAGAAGTCCTTGTTTCCTTGAGGATGCATTAAGCTGTCATTAAGTTTATTCAGGCCATCCTTCTGCCTTCATTAAGGTCAGTCCTAAATAGTTCAAAATAGATAAATCTCTTGTTTTGCTCTTTCAAATTCCCAGAATGCATTTCTGGATAGTGAGATACTGAGTAATGTTTCACTGTTTTCCTTGATCTTTCAAAAAATATTTCCTTCATTTTTATAATAAGTTTTTATTTGTGCTAAACTATCAAGGCACTATTTGATTGATTGCTATAACTTTCTACCATTTAGGTCTTCATATGCTCCTCATTTTAGTACCAACAGGCTCATACTGCCAAGAAATCCCTTCACAGACCGGCACCACGTTAGAATTCCATTCTCTTGTTCTAAATTTGATTGAAAGCTTAGCATGCTATCCTCATTTTTATAGATATTTCCATCTACATGGAATATTACTTTAACTTCTCCACTGACATAATCCTTAACTTTTTCTATAACCTCTTTTAACTTTTCCTCATGATTCCTTCTACCTCCCTGTATTAGTTCATTAAGACCTCTTAAATCGAGGCAGTCCTATGGGCCATGCACAGTGTGGGCTGCACTGGGTGGGTTACAGATGTGAACAAGGCCAATGTTTCTCTTTAATTCCTTCCCCTCTCCCACTTCCCTCATTAAGAAGCCTAGACCACACAATACAACCATACTTTAGTAAAAGTCCATCTAAAAATTGGATTAGTACTGAGTACAACATTAAACACCCAGAAGAAAAAGATTAACTTGTCCATTTGCTGAAGAACTACAAATTTACCATGTTACATTAAAAAAAAATAGCCTTAATAAGAAAAATTCTGAAAAAGATGAGTAGGGGCAAAGCAGGTCAGTAGGATGGTGGTGTCGGAATGTATACGAAGGGTCAAGAAGAAGGGTAGGTGCTCCAGTAAGAGGGCGCCAAATGTCTGGAGGTGAGAGCAGACAGTGGTTTGGGGAATGGAATGGGGGGAGAGGGGGAAGAAGGGAAGGTTCATGAGAGATGGGGCTGGAGAGAGAGGTGGGACTATTTTATAAGCCTACTCTTCGCAGGCAAATTAGGGAGGTTGGAATTGGTTCCTATAGCACCGGGATTTCACCAAGAGGTTTCAAAGAGGACTTCGGAAAGGTCACTGTGCCTGTCTCCATCACAAACAGGTTAAGAGGGACACAAGGAAGTCTACCTGTCCCTCTATATCAATCCATCTATCTGTTTGTTTAACAGATCTAAGGTCACCTTTCCAAAAAATACGTTCCCAAGTTTATATAAAAAAATCAACTCTATTTAAAAACAAGTTTTTAAATAGCCAAGATTTTCTTAAACTAAATCCTTGTTGTAAAGGAGTTGCTATGTCATCTCAAAAAAAATACACTTTTTATTTTAATTGATTCATATTCAAAATCAAACAGAAACAAGTCTCTCTGTTCACTGCATCTGAAGTCAAAATGACTTACATTAAAAACTAACAAAATTATTAAGGAAAAAAATAGATGATAAATGCCTATTCCAGGTAACCGAAATCAAGGTCCTAAAAACAAAAATTATGTGTAAGAACCCTAACTACAATACCTCAAATACAGTAAACGTAATATGGGGTATCTTCTCATTTTGCTTAAATGCTGATAAATATTTTTCCACAAAAAATAAAATGGTTACTTGCAGTGAAGAGTTACAGTTCCACCAAGAAATAGCATTTAACATCTTAAAGCCTTAAAAATTCTCCTTCATATTTCACCACAAAATATTATTTAACATCTTTAACTATTTGTATCTTCAGATTAACAGTTCTTATTTAACTTTAAATGGAATTGTTTCAGTCACTTCTGCAGTCTGCAAGTGTTTTCTTTCTCAGAGTTTTCTACTACTTTAAAAAAATATTAATGCCTTAACTGCATATGTCTGAAAACATATAGACAAAGAAAAGCAGAGCATTACTGTACTAAACTGTCCGTTAATAGCAATCAGAGACTGAAATGTGACTGATGACTACAGTGCCATTTCTGTGAAACTAGAAAAGCATACTCCCAAACATGTTTACAAAAAAAAAGAGGAAAAGCTAATATAATAAAGACAAGCAATAAAACTTTTTACTGGTTGTCTTTGTTTTATGTAATGCTAGACAGAATTCAAGGAGGTAAATCAGCTGGTTAACTATAAGTAAGAATTTTAGTTTACCATTCCATGTGCCATATGTTTTATTTTCTTTTGAGTATTACCAAACTCAAACACAGTTGAAAGTTTATATAATTTTTATGAATGCTTTTTTTTAAATATCTTTATTGGAGTATAATTGCTTTACAATGGTGTGTTAGTTTCTGCTTTATAACAAAGTGAATCAGCTATACATATACATATATCCCCAGATCTCCTCCCTCTTGGGTCTCCCTGCCTCCCACCCTCCCTATCCCACCTATCTAGGTGGTCACAAAGCACCGAGCTGACCTCCCTGCGCTATGCGGCTGCTTCCCACTAGCTATCAATTTTACGTTTGGTAGTGTATATATGTCCATATATGTCCACTCTCTCACTTTATCCAGCTTAGCCTTCCCCCGCCCCATATCCTCAAGTCCATTCTCTAGTAGGTCTGTGTCTTTATTCCCGTCTTGCCCCTAGGTTCTTCATGAATTTTTTTTTTTTTTAAGATTCCATATATATGTGTTAGCATACAGTATTTGTCTTTCTCTTTCTGACTTACTTCACTTTGTATGACAGATTCTGGGTCCATCCACCTCAATACAAATAACTCAATTTCGTTTCTTTTTATGGCTGAGTAATATTCCATTGTATATATGTACCACATCTTCTTTATTCATTCATCTGTCTCTGGACACTTAGGTTGCTTCCATGTCCTGGCTATTGTAAATAGAGCTGCAATGAACACTTTGGTACATGACTCTTTTTGAATTATGGTTTTCTCAGGGTATATGCCCAGTACTGGGATTGCTGGGTCGTATGGTAGTTCTATTTGTAGTTTTTTTAAGGAACCTCCATACTGTTCTCCATAGTGGCTGTATCAATTTACATTCCCACCAACAATGCAAGAGGGTTCCCTTTTCTCCACACCCTCTCCAGCATTTACTGTTTCTAGATTTTTTGATGATGGCCATTCTGACTGGTGTGAGATGATATCTCATTGTAGTTTTGACTTGCATTTCTCTAATGATTAATGATGTTGAGCATTCTTTCATGTGTTTGTTGGCAATCTGTATATCTTCTCAGGAGAAATGTCTATTTAGGTCTTCTGCCCACTTTTGGATTGGGTTGTTTGTTTTTTTGATATTGAGCTGCATGAGCTCCTTGTAAATTTTAGAGATTACTCCTTTGTCAGTTGCTTCGTTTGCAAATATTTTCTCCCATTCTGAGGGTTGTATTTCCGTCTTGTTTATGGGTTTTTTTGCTGTGCAAAAGCTTTTAAGTTTCATTAGGTCCCATTTGTTTATTTTTGTTTTTATTTCCATTTCTTTAGGAGGTGGGTCAAAAAGGATCTTGCTGTGATTTATGTCGTAGAGTGTTCTGCCTATGTTTTCCTCTAAGAGTTTGATAGTGCCTGGCCTTATATTTAGGTCTTTAATCCATTTTGAGTTTATTTTTGTGTATGGTGTTAGGGAGTGTTCTAATTTCATTCTTTTACATGTAGCTGTCCAGTTTTCCCAGCACCACTTATTGAAGGGGCTGTCTTTTCTCCACTGTATATTCTCGCCTCCTTTATCAAAGATAAAGTGAGCATATGTGCATGTGTGTTTATCTCTGGGCTTTCTATCCTGTTCCATTGATCTATATTTCTGTTTTTGTGCCAGTACCATACTGTCTTGATTACTGTAGCTTTGTAGTATAGTCTGAGGTCAGGGAGCCTGATTCCTCCAGCTCTGTTTTCCTTTCTCAAGATTGTTTTGGCTATTTGGGGTCTTCTGTGTTTCCATACAAATTGTGAAATTTTTTGTTCTAGTTCTGTGAAAAATGCCACTGGTAGTTTGATAGGGATCGCACTGAATCTGTAGATTGCTTTGGGTAGTATAGTCACTTTCACACTGTTGATTCTTCTGATCCAAGAACATGGTATATCTCTCCATCTGTTTGTATCACCTTTAATTTCTTTCATCAGTGTCTTATAGTTTTCTGCATACAGGTCTTTTGTCTCCTTAGGTTTATTGCTAGATATTTTATTCTTTTTGTTGCAATGGGAAATGGGAGTGTTTTCTTAATTTCACTTTCAGATTTTTCACCATTAGTGTATAGGAATGCAAGAGATTTCTGTGCATTAATTTTGTATCCTGCTACTTTACGAAATTCACTGATTAGCTCTAGTAGTTTTCTGGTAGCATCTTTAGGATTATGAATGCTTTCTTAAAGGTTGACTCCTCAGTTGAGATAACTGCAGTTTCACATGCAGTTGTAAGAAATAATTGAGAGATATCCATTGTACACTGCCCAGTTTCCCTCAATGGTAACATCTTACAAAACTAGACCATCATGTACAACCAGAATACTGATTGATACAGTCATCCATCCTATTCCAGTTTCCTTAGTTTTATGCACACTCATTTGTATGGATTTCTATACAATTTATTATCTGTCTAGGTTCACTCAGTCACCACAGTCAAGATACTGAACAGTTTTAACACCATATGTTGCCCTTTTATCACCACACCCACTTCCTCCACCCAATCCCCAGCTGGTTAGTTTTAT